CCCCACTGTCCTCATCCATAGGTGCACGATTTTTGTCCAGTCTCTTCCCGCATCTCCCCTTCCCCCCCACCCCCCAAGAATAGTCCATTCCCTTTCTAGGTCCCTGATTCTATTACAATTGCCAGTTCATACTGTTCATCAGATTATTTATTTATTATTATTATTTTTCCTTTCATTTATATTCATAGAGAAAATACACAGTATTATATGTATCATTTTAAAACCATCTGGTTTTAATATAAACTTATAAGGTACTCTACTATCTGTTAGGTTTTCAAAATAAATGGCACTCTATTTTATTCTGAAGCTGGGCTTTTTTTCATTTAATCTTATATTCATGAGATCTGTTCAGGCTAATGCATATAGGCCAAGCTTGTTCTAAACAGCTGTTTAGTATTCAAAATATGAATGCACCACAGCTACTGGCTATTTCAGCTTATTTCTATAATTGACTTTTACATACAGTACTGAATGAAATACACTGAGTGGCCAGATTATTATGACCACCTGACGATTGTAGGCAAATTAGCTATAATTTTGCACTGAAGTTGCTACAGGGCCAGACCATTATAAATAGGGAAGCAGGTTGTTTACCATGACAGTAGAAGTGATTTTTTTCTGAAGATATGGGTAAACAACCCGATTTAACAGCCTTTGAACGTGGGATATATATTATTATGAGTGGCCAGATTATTATGACCACCTGACGTTTGTAGGCAAATTAGCCATACACTGCATCGTATGGGATATGGAAGCCGAAGGCCTGTTCGAACACCTTTGCTGTCTGCAGTTACCAAGATAAAACGTCTCCAATTCGCACAGGAACACAAGGATTGGACAATCGAACATTGGAAAAAAGTCATGTGGTCCGATGAATCACGTTTCCAGTTGCATCATGCAAATGGCAGTGGAGAATTTGGCTGAAACAGCATGAAAGCATGCAACCCACATGCATGAGTACAACCCTTCAAGCTGGTGGGGGCAGTGTTATGGTTTGGGGCATGATTTGGACCCTTTGATTCGTGTGGAACAACATCTGAATAGCACAACATACCTAAAAGTATCGTTGCTAATCAAGTTCATCCTATCATGTTGATGGTGTATCCCAATGGAGATGGCTTCTTCCAGCAAGACAAAGTGCCATGCCATGGTGCTCATATTGTGCAGGAGTGGTTTCAAGAACACGAGGGAGACTTTTCCATGCTTAGGTGGCCCCTACAATCACCAGATCTCAATCCAATTGAGCATTTGTGGGATGAGATTAAAAGAGAGATCA